TAGGCCACACAATAACTTCAGTGCACAATTGTCTGTGTCTGAAAATGGTTTTTCACCTTTTTTAGGTAGTGCTGTAAAATGCATCATGTTTTAAACATAAGACCTTAATGTGAATTGATCTTAACATGTTGTGGGGTTTATAACAGAAGTTCAGATCCTAATCTCACCTACTTCCACTTTTCTATATATATATACTGTATCTCATCTTCTAGACTTCGCTTTTAGCATTTCTCTCACACCCGGTCTACTCCCTTGAAGCATCTCCCTAGCTCAGTTCTTGCAAAAATAAAAGGTTAATTTAGCTGCATCCTTACAATCAGGCTGCAGTTCTCTCAGCTAGGTGAGTTACACCAAACAACCTGTAATACATTTGTCCCTCTTTTGCATTCATTAGGATCTGACCAAACTACTTAAATTTCTCTTGGAGAACAGTCTTGCCAAGATTAGACATTAAACTGGAGATGTAGGCAAACAAATAGTATACCATCCACCACTTTCACCCCTAAAAGAATCTAAGTCTTATTTAAATTCAGTAATTGGTTGCCATTACAATTCAGAAAAGTCTCAGTTCACATGAGTGTTTACAGACAAGTGTAACCAACAGGACAAAAGCAAACACTTCATTATTCTATTAAGTCCCCAATGAACATAAAAAATATTCTACAATCTTAACTGCCAAAGTAGTTGAAGTTGACTGTATGAAACCCAACTATCAAGTGTTTTCAAACCTCTCTAGATGCACTCTAGATGTGTTCCAAATGAAAAAGATGTGTGTTTGGGAATACATACCTGTATAAATGCTGTATTTTATTTTCACTTAAAAGTACATGACATCATGTGCTGTTGCTGGCAGTGCAGAGAAACCAATAGCCTGAAAAGCCCAACAATCGCTGCTTTGATTACTATAACAGGGCCTACACTTTATAAATAGGACAGACACTTCCTGTCATGGCATGCTCTCTCTCATGAGTATGTACAAGAAAAACTGCAACTACAATGCAACACACGGGGAGCTTGTAAAGGACATATAAAAATGATACTAATTTAATGACATTAACCAAGTTTCATTGATGTTCCTCATATAGACATTGGTGTATAGATGGCCATAAAACAGATAAGAAAAATAAGAAGAATACTAGAAAAAACAAAAGGGAAAGATTCCAAATCCAGACTCTGTACGACACCTGTTATTAAAGAATGCGTTATCATTCTAGTGCCAGTGAAATCACAGGGCACTGCACAACCATAAAAAAGAGAATTTCTGCTACTCTATTCTGAATTATCCAAAGAAAATTAAAGAGTTAAAATTATTTACAACTGAAACTTATAACCTCTCATTCACTGCACTGTTGGTAACACAAGCCCTTTAATTATTTGTGTTATCATGAAGCCAACCAGTCAAATAGAAAGCCTATAAAGAGTTTAACTACAACTATTGTGTGTGCCTAAGACTGTAAGATTTTCCTTTAATAAAGAAACCTGAAAAACCTAAACAGGTTTCATATGCTTATGGGTGGACTTGTAACTTTGCTACATTTAGCTCTGTAAACCAACATTCCTCACCAAATGTCGCAGGTTGCAACTTAAAATACAATGTATCCCATCCAGGCTTGATCCAACATGAGTATACAGTATATATAAAATTTAATTACACTGATACTTACTTCTGGTCCCGGAGGCCTGTAGTGTCTTTGTTTTCAAATCAGTCTAACTGCCTTGATTTGAACTAATTATAAGTAAAGATTTGGGCTGTATTACCACCATTTCCTTGTATAAACTGATTCTAAATTACTGATTAAACATGGTAGAATGGGGCCTACCAGGACTAGGAGCAACTATCACTGCTCTAATATGGTAATTTCTTGTACCTCATTCAAGAAAATGGTAATGAAAGACAGTGATTATACAGTCACAGCTTCCAAATTTAGTTTTTTTTTTATAGTTGAACACTTATTTCTTATTTTTTTAGATCTGTTTAGTGTTTTAATTAATTAAATGACTAATTGTATGAATGAAACGCCTTCTTCGGTTCTTAAGACAAACCTAAAAAAACCTACAAAGCACAATGAGCTTCGGCCCACAAAGACAGCCTAATGCTCTCTCTCTCATGTACAGGACACCCTTAGCTCAATGGCTGGCTTCTTCCACCCCAGCTCCTCAAGCTGATTCAGCTCCTTGTGAGATTCGCATGCAAACACTTCCCCATGTGGTCTGCTGTTTTACATTGGCTGCTATAAAACAGAAAAATGTCTCATTTCCTTGCGAACAACAGAAGTCTAATTTTATGTCAGACATGCAACCACTGACAATGCGTGAAACCCTTGCAGACCAGGCAGCACACAGCATTTGCCTTTTTTTGTTACAGATCAGACACAATCTGCCCTTCGCTAATAATAAGTCCATGCTTGGTCACAGGACTCTGGCTGATTTTACTCCTGGGACCTGATAATAATCCCAAATAGCCTTTGACATGAAAGAGCTACAGTAATATGCATAACAATATAAGTGGTTTTAACTATAACCACCTTTGTTCTCTTGTTCACTCTGCAATGGGTACATTCTAAACTCAGGCTCTATCACAAACAGAAAAAACACTAACAGATGCTGTATTCCGCACATTAGTTTGAACCATCTCAAAAAGGGGTATTTTACAAATTGTGCAACTTGCCTTTTAGTCCTACTCCCATCACATGTCCCCACTGACTCTTGTGTTGTTCAGTTTTCATGCCATCAGGAATATGAGGGTTTTAGAAATATTGTAATACTTCTTTGTAGCTTATATTGAAAACAAATTGAGTACTGCTCTATTCACAAACCCTGCAAAACTATTTTGTGAGGCTCATTAAGATACTCCAAATTCAAGGTGACTCATGACAATCAGATCTTTGAATTGTTCCTAGAAGCCTCAGAAAGTAAACAAAGTTGCATCTGCCTCATCTACAGTATATTGGGATGAGAGACCTCTAAGGAAAACCAGATTGCTACTGTAAGTGGTGCTGGTAGACCAGTAGGTGGCACTCTTCCCTCTGGAAGGGAATTTCCAAACCAAACCTCCAGCATGGTGACAAGGAACTCTTTGCTGTAACCAAGGTACTGACTAATTGGTCATTAGTATTCCCAGTGCTGTTCAGAAGAGTTGGAAACCCCAGTGGTCCTGGCTCAATTCCACTTTGGGCTTGCACAAAGTGGCCAACCTTAGTTTCCCTCTTAAATCACTTCTCAACCTGATCTGCCATTTAGGGGGTCTGCATGTGCAGAAACGCTTCAGCCCATGAGCCAAGTGGGAGCTACAAATACAAGGCGTTATTAATTATAGTTCAGGACACTGTAGATGAATAAATGCATTGTTCATATCTTAAGACAACCTTCAGATGACTATGTTAAAACTGTTTTATAATACTACCAGTTTTACACAGCTTATTAATTGGTTATTCTAAGCCTAATGCACCACTTCATTTTATGTTGCACTCAGCAGCTGGAGGTGAATCCTTCAAAACGCCCGTGAGCAGGTCACAAGGCACTTCTTAATCAACAAAGTTACTTACAGTATCATGTGTAATCGAGGTCATGAAAAGTGATGTATCATTCATTCATCATTGTGATTGTCCAGGATGACTTAAAATTGCAAGCATTTTGTTGGGTGTTTTTTAAAAGCGCTGTTCCACAACGACCCTTAAGACTGAATTTATACAACAGGATCCTTACTTACAGCCATGAGATACTGAGACATTCGCAAGCCAATATTCATAGATGAAACCTATTATTTAATTGCTGTGCCCTGCTGTATTTTAGCATAGGTTCGAACGACAGTGAAAAATTGGGTCAAAACATTTTCTTTTTGTTTTTGAACTCGAGCATTGTGGGGCTGCGTTTCTGACGTGGTTTAACACCCACTGAAATGATCAACCGCTTTCTAATCAGCCTGTATAAAATCGTCAGTGATTATATCCCGCAGTCGAGAATAAAATGATGTCTCCTTGTCACTGTTGTTGTATTTAAGGGAACTGTCCAGATAAATACCGCAACAACCCCTGGACATAAAACCAACAATCTCCACATTTTTTACCGAATCTTTTGGTAACACGTACTATAGACAAATTCATGAAAATCGGGGAAATCTATTTACCACACCGATAAAACACAATTCAAATCAGTCCACAATGAAACTGTGATTCCGAATGGGTTATGTGCAATGTAGTCTGCAGAGCACAAGACAAATACGGAACTATGAATGAAATCGTCTGCTTTTTTGTGAATAGAAACTGCTCACAAAATGAGAAAAATGCGCACATAGAGCAATTCGTGGATACAAATTAACAGCAGTGTATGCCTTTTCTCTTGAATGAAAAAAAACAAAAATATCTGAGAAACAAATCCGTTATAGAGACAGGCAGTCTTTCACGTTGTCAAGAAACGTACAAAGGTGGTGATGGTGATGAACGGTAACCAGAAATCAAGACGTTTCCATCTTATTAATCAGGTCTTATTAATACTTTAATATGCCTTATATTCATGTATTGTACACAGCTTTGCAGCACATTAGTTTTAACTTAAGCAAAATCTACTGCCATTTAAATGCAAATACATTTAAATTTTCAGTCATGATTTTTTCAACGAAGAGAGAAGAAATAATAACCTGAAAAATCCTCAAAACACAGCAGCTCGCCTAGTTTTTCCCTGCTTATGTACACAAAGTTTGTTTTTCATTTCTGTTGTTTTTGCATCACGTACGTGCAGATGTTAAAGCACGCGTTACAAAAATAACAGGTGACTAACACAAGGGGTTTAACGTACACAACGATATGCCTCTTGTGTTAGACCATTGTATTGGGTTAATACATTGGATACAAATAAATGACACCAGCGAAAACAATGCATGGTGAATTATTTTGACTGAAGCTTGGAAAATGAAAGGCACAATTTCTATAATGATGACTGGCGATTAAGGAGTAGATACAATGCAGCCTGAGCTCCACACGTCCAGTGTTTCTGAAACCCACCTGCTTGTGTTGTATCGGTCAGGTCATAGCTCATACCGGGAAAATCTCTCAGTTTCCTCCCGCTAAGATTTAACATCCCCGAGCAAACCGCATCCTCCAGAGCCCGGTCCAAGCTCCTGGCCGTGTGCAGGTGGTGCTGATGATGCAGTAGTCCCGGATTCCAGTGAGGTCCATTCGGGTAGTGATGGCTTTGCAGAGCTGTTACTGCTCCTCCGCCTCCCTGACTCGCCGCCATTTTCATATGAGAAATCATACGGACAATAATAACATTCAGGCAGGGAGCCTCTCCGCCTCGACGCCCATGCGCAGGACTCACAGCATGCAAAAGGGGATGGACCTCGAGATTAAAGAACTGAATGAGGGAGGTTCAGCCTGAGTACTAGCGGATTCGGGAACACGCCTAGTTGAGCTTGTGCCTCTAAACCTAACTATTAAAATGTTACGTGCACTACCTTGAAATACGTCTTTACTTTTCATGAACCATTCTAAATCTATCATTGTGGCAAAATGTTAAACTCAGGCGAAGAAGTTTAAGAATCACCATGCATGTATTCCCACAGGTCTAACCAATAAAATGTAAATCGGTGACACACATCATTTTGCCACACGTTGCACCTGCTGACACGTGTCCTGTCGTGACACAAAAGTATGTAATGCTATGGAGTAGAACAACTCCGTTTCAAAATCTTGGAACTACAGTATGTTTATAACTCCCAGGGGCAAAACGTATGCGACATACAGTGTGCGATTCCGTATCTGATCAAAATGCTGGACTGGGCACCCGAGCATGCATGTGCTATGGGTGGTCCGTTTGCACCCATAGGACCATAAACACTCATGAGAGCGACTGGCATTGTGAGGCCTGGTGTTATATGAAATATAACGATCTTTTGACACAGCAGCCCAGGCTTAGTGACTTTGTGTACTACTTAGTGGCATTGGGACAGCCTCATGTTGTCGTGACAAAGAAGGCAGTGGTGTTACCACAATCACACAATAAACCATGTTAAAATAATGTATGCCATCAGTACCAAACAAATCCTGCAATTTTTACTAATAGTACAATAGTTTTCTGGTTTATTGTGGTGATTATCACAGGACTATGCCATGGTAAAGAGGTTACAAAGCTACAAAGGTAAGATACTGTAATTACCACTGAACAATACAATAGCCATCATACACTCTGAAATAACCCCCCCAATATGTACTACATTCTCTCATGGTAGTTTTTGAAGCAGTACTTTTCCAAATGTGCTAGGTTTCTCCTCAGCAATGGATAAACAAAGGCTTTTATTTAGGGTTACTGTACTTACCTATCTCATTCCTGTTTTTTTTGTTGTTGTTGTTTGTCATGGTGCTCAGTAAAACCAAGATCTAGTTGAATCTAGTTTAAAGTGACAGCAAAATAAAGGAATTTCTCCATGTGACAGACATACAAACTCTCTCTGCTATAAATATAATTAAAAAATATAAAATCAGCTCTACAGTTTTTTGTCATGTGTCAAGTACAAGTGATCAAGAATGATGTTCAAACAGGTTAGCAGGTAAACTGAAAATCTTACAGAAATCTTAAAATTCACAGCATAAAAAACAGAGCACATAGAGAGCCCCCATTATACAGACGATGACACAGTCATAAAAATACTTTATTTTTTTTAAGTTAAAACACTTATCGTTTCAAATCTGGGGATGGTATGTACTGTCCGTTGCTAGCATATCAGATTGAGAGATTTGCCAGTAAGACATGTTGGCTTCTTATTTCAGTTTCACTGAACATGTAAATGATTCATTTTTCAATTAAAATGTTGTTAGGAAATAGTTTATTGCAGCACCACTGAATTTGGTGAACACCCATAAAAGCAAAAACGTTTTTTTTGTGTGTGCACATGTGTAACCCCTTTGGTTGTAGAAATAGTTTTACTGGAGTAAAACTAATACTCCAATACTGTGCAATGTAGTAATTCCACAATAACCGTACAAGAACCATGTTTCCAGTTTTTAACGTTTTTTATTATGTCATCATCACATGGCCATGACTCACATGGGTCATTCTTACCTAATTCAGACAGAAATTAGTTAGTCAGAAGTTATAATTAAATGTTGCAGTGAGTTGAACAATTAGATTTGCCACAGAAAGATAGACCCTATGGCATGTTATGATTATTATGATATCTGTATTAAAAATAATAACTTCTAAGGAAAATGGGAGGCAATGTGGGGTTATAATTATAGTGCTGCCTTGCAGCACTCTGGGCCTGGGTTCAAGTCCAGATCTTTGGTGCGATATGTGTGGAGTTTGCATGTTCCCCTTGGTTTGTGTGGGGTTCCTTGCAGGTATTCCAGTTTCCTCCTACAGTCCAAAGATATACTGGTAGGTTAATTAGCATATTGGAAAATTGGTCCTGGTGTGGGTGTGTGCACGTGTACCCTGTTCTGGACTGGCATCCTATCCAAGCTGTATCCTGTCTTGCACCCTTTGCTTGCCGGGATAGGCTCTGGTTCCCCCATGACACTGAACTGGATAAAGCAGTTAGAAAATAGATGCATGAAAGTGAAACCTGTTATAAAAGTGAAATATTTTTTACAGATATTTATCCATTACAACCTTACCATTGAAACATCCTTAAGAATTCTGCTATATAAATTCACATTCAAATATTATTAATGATCTTATTAAAGGCACGGTGCTATAGGCATTTTTCTAAATAGGTGAGATTTAAATGCTGATAGTTTTGTGAGGCAGAGGTGTAGCACTGAGTTTGTAGCTATATTCTGTAGACATTGCTGAAATACTAGGGCAGGGCTGAATAATGTTTGTAATATATTCAACATGAAAGTATCTGCACCCTGGCTTGTGGTCTTGCTTGTGGTTTACAGGGTAGAATACATACATCTGAGTTCGCATACGTCTGCTTGAGCAGACAGACAAGCTTAATCATTTCTAAGACCAGCTTCTGTTGTGCCAAACAAGCATGCTATCAATCAGCAATGCTCTAATGAGGACGTGTGTGAAACTGTTCAAAGAATCTTCTGTGCATGGAAGAAAAAGCAGCATTGTTATCTTAGAATACTGTTGTGTGTGTGTGTGTGTGTGTGTGTGTGTGTGTGTGTGTGTGTTTTGGGCTTGATCTGAAGCAAAACTGAGGAAATGACAGAAAGGAAAAAGTAACATTCAAAATATAAATTTCCTAAACCTGAATAGCTTTAATAAATAAAAAGTGCCTCAGCATTCCAAAATTATTTTTAAATAGTAATAAATGTTGATTAGCTCCTTTAGGATCTAATTTCTCTGCATGGAGTTTGTATGTTCTGCCTGTGTTTGCATGGGTTAGGCCAGGTTCTAGTTTTCTCTCACAGTCCAGAGACATACTGGAAGGTTAATTAATTTCATGGAAAACTGGCCCTGGTGTGAGTGTGTCTGTATCTGTGTTTGTATCTGTGTGTGCCGTGTGATGGACTTCCATTCCATTCAGGGTGTATCTCACATTGCACTTGCTGTTTGCCAGGATATGCTCTGGCTTCCCGCAGCCCTGTACTGGATAGAGCCGTTAGAAAATGGATGGATCTAATTCTTGACTGCATGCAATATTCCTCTTTGCCACCAGGGGACATTAGAGCGTGGTCTTAAATGACCTCCAGCTTGTTCTGCTTTGATTAAGGGTTCTTCTGACCTTCTGCTTAGAAGATTGTTGATTCCTATTATAAAATTGAATTATGTATATAATATGTTATGTATTTATCATTTAATATTTATCATTCTGAGTTGGGCAGCAAGGCAAAATGTTAGTGTGACTGACTTTCAGTCTTCTGCTTGATTCTGTACTGTAGAGTTTGTGTGTTTCCCAGTGTTCGTGTGAGATTTTGCTGGGTACTCTGGTTTACTCTCACCTTTCAGAGACATAAAGGCTAGATTAGTTGGTGTCTCTAAACAGCCTCTGTGTGCTTATGTGTGTGTTTTCTGTGCACTGGACTTGTGTCCTGTCCAGGGTATAGTCTTAGATCCTGTGCTTTTAATAATAATAATAATAATTGCTTACACTTATATAGCGCTTTTCTGGACACTCCACTCAAAGCTCTTTACAGGTATTGGGGACTCCCCTTCACCACCACCAATGTGCAGCATCCACCTGGATGATGCGACGGCAGCCATAGTGCGCCAGAATGCTCACCACACATCAGATATCAGTGGGGAGGAGAGCAGAGTAATGTAGCCAATTCATAGAGGGGGACTATTAGGAGGCCATGATTGGTAGGGGCCAATGAGAAATTTGGCCAGGACACCGGGGTTACACTCTTACTCTTTTCGAGAAGCACCCTGGGATTTTTAATGATCACAGAGAGTCAGGACTTTGGTTTTACATCTCATCCGATGGATGGCGCCTGTTTACAGTATAGTCTCCCCGTCACTATACTGAGGCATTAGGACCCACATGGACTGCAGGGGGAGCGCCCCATTTTGGGATATGCTCTAGTTTGCTATGACCCTAACCAGGAAAAACTAGATAACAGATGGAGGGAATACATACCGCAAGATGTCTGTAAAGTACAATTTTTCTATGGCTTTCATCCTCGCAATATACAATGATCCATCTCTTGGAAAACCATGCCTTCAGATATGTTCTTAGAATGCTAACTTTCATTAACAATTTATCTTCATTTTCTATATTTATTAACATACATTTCTGTTCACTAGCAAGAGTCTTCTGGTCTTGTATGTTTTCATATCATATAGAAAAAAATGAAAAGGTGTACAACTGTGCTGCTCATAACTGTAGAATGATCTATCACTGAGTTTCAGAACTTCCTTTTCTTAAAGTATGTTTAAACATTTCTCCCTAAACATAACATGTACTATAATACAAAGTTATACATTGAAGCTTAGGTTAGCCATGCCTACATTTGAGGAGACTGAAATAATTGAAGGATACTGTTGTAGTGGCTTTTTTGATTAAATTGTAAAACGTTTTGATATTGTACTAATAAAAGTGGTTATTATTACATAACTAATTATGATATGATAACTTATTATTAATTCATTAGCAAGTAGTCATTATTTAATTAATTATCATTTAAGTAGTCTTTATTTACTCCAAATGAGCTCTATTATTTCTTATGTATTACTGGCAGCCCAAGAGATACTGTACATCGTAGATGATAAATAATAAAACAATGAAGATCTAAAGCAAAGTACAAAAGAAAGGAAGCTGAGAAACTTTTAATTCTAATCAAAATCTAAACACCCCTGGAAAATGGACTGAAAATTGATGGATTGATGGGGAAGAATAAAGTAGTACTTATACAGCTCCAGGAATCCAGAACAGCCATTCAAGTACTTTATAGTGAGGAATTATGGCTATGACCCACAGGCACCTGCTAAAAATGGGAAATGGACCACAGACCAATTTCAATTTGGAACCCCTGTTTTAAAATAATTCTGAGAATGTTAGTTGATATCTGAGACCAAAATAATTGTTTGTACTAGGAAACCTACATTTCACTATAATATTCTGTACAGTACAATGTGCTGAGCTGATAGTCCCAGGTGCACCATTCCAATCAATTTGCTTTATTAGTTTCATTTACAGACAGCCTATAAACTGTGAACACTACAATGTTTCTAGTGTTTCTGCCTTGAGCTCTTTTTCTGATCTCATACTTTTTAAGTTTTAATTCACTCAGATTTAATGATTCAAGCTCTTCTCTTAATGGAGACAAATCAGAGACATTTTCACAGCCTGTGAATAAGCAAATGTGTCTAGGAGCATTGAAGTCTGAATTATTTCAAAAGGCAATGTATCCCCGTGTGCTTAACTATATTTCTTTTTTTTACTCTTGAGAGGAGAAAAAGGAATTAGTATTAGAGAATGGTTAATAATCTTAGCATCTGGAGCATCGTCAACCCTCTGGGCTACAGTATGTAATGTTTTTGTTGCCTGTGTGATAGCTCATTTTGCTTTTTAGTCTCACATGTGGTGACTTCAAGATCCTTCTATGCATTAACGACAATGGGGATGGGATTGCTTACTTCTGACGTCAAACTGGAAATATCGCCTTTCTTTGGTTGGATTCTTGCTATTTGCTTACAGCAAATATAGCCCGAAGGATTGGCAGGTTTTAAACATCTAAGGAAAAGAAGAACAGATGGATTTTCTTTTTTTCTTAAATATGACATGCATACCTCCCCTGTGGCTACTTCAGTTTTTCCCGCCCTGAGCATGATTCTTGAAAGATATGAGATCATTTTAAAAATTGACAAAAATAAATTCTGCTCTTAAACTGGAAAACACACTTTTTAAAAAAAATCCAGAAACAGATGCATGGAATATATGACCAAAATGCATCTTAGGATACTTAGAAGCTGAGCTTGATAGAAACATGAAGGGCCAGATGTATTAAGAAAGTCCAGTCATAGCATGAACATTCTGCAAATTTCTAGTTGTGTTGCAACAATGCTCAGAATAAACAGTAAATAGTTGTATTTACTAGGAACAAATATATCTTTGAGAAGAATTGGAAGATAATTCAGATATCTTTAGTTAATGGAAACCTGTGTCATGGGTTAATTCTGAAATGATCAAATGTAAATTATTTTTTTTCTTTCACACTTGCTTCTTTTTATTTTATATCATTGTCAACTATATAATTACCCCTAAGAAAAACAAATGCCCCATGTTTATCCTGATTGATTAAACTCCTGTTAAGCAGTCAAATAATGGTCTGAAAAAATATTAAAACTATTCTATTCTGCAATACAATTATTAAATATACAGTATGCATATAGTTAATCCATATTTCTATCATTTATATTTTCTGCACATCTTTGTTATCAGCAGTTAATAAGACTATGGGCTGTTTTTTTTCTTATAGTATCAATAGTTTTTCATTTTAACAGACTAAATCCATATGAGATACTACATAACATGTTTCTAAATTTTTATCAGATTTTGGTACATTACTTTTATATGACTCTGATTATTTTAAAGAGTTTCAGTTATAATAACTGAATTAAAACCACCCCCAGTTTTCAGCAAAGCACAGCTGATAGCTGCATATTGTTGAATCAATATAATATCTTTGATTGTTTAATGTTGTAGCACTGTTTTCAACTCCTTAAATTGACAGTGGTGATATCATATTGATTCAAAAAGAAAAAAATATGTTAAATTGACATTTACGAACAAGACTGAATCAAGACAACTGTCAGCATTGTTTCATCGCTTATCAGTCATAAATTTCACTTTTGCTTGCCTCTTACCATTTTATTCCCTGCTCTGTCTGACTCTGTGGATCTTCATATCTATAGTATGTATTTTTCTGCCTTCCCCAAATGAGGTGGTGAAAAAAAATTAAGTTTCCTAATTTTTTAGGCCATGTGGCCTTCCACAATTCAAATGAAGCCATTGAGTAATGGCTACAGTATAATATTGATAATGCATTTGAATCTTTCATGAAAATAACAATGTTGCCATGGTAATAAAAATCTAATGGAACAAAAGTTACTACCAGAAATGAGAATGGTAGATCAATACAGTATGTGGCACTGTATTCACAAAACCTTATTTTGGTGTTAGGGGACATCCTGCTGGCATTATTTAAATGTTAGTTTAACAAGTACTTGCAGACTCCCTGCCAGTGGTCAGAAGTGAAAGTTCTGTAACCCCAGTGCTATTATTTGTAGTCCAACTACAGACTTTTGCAGGGAGGCCTACCTGAATTTTCTTCTCCTTAATTGGTTAAGTAAGTCTTTGCTTCTCCACCTCATCTGTTATGTCTAAACTGTTTCTCCAAGATGACTGCTGTGCTCTACTCAAGAAGATGCTGTACTTTATTTCAAAAGCAGATTAAATAAATTCTGACCCATCTAAAGCACTCTGGGATGAAAAAATAAAAGAATAATTAATTAATTATTATATAATGAAATGAGTTCCAAAGTATGTCCTATAAAATGTATAGCAAAAAAATGTTTTTTGTCTAAAAAAAGCACTGCAGGTCCAGGATGAATTAAATGCCACAGTACACAATTCTTTCTCGTCTCTCTGGATGGAAAATTGTCTACATATAAATCAGGCTATCAAAATAAAAAATAACTAGCTACTTAAATTATATAAGATACAGTAAAACATACCTACTAAGGAAGAGAAATGGGTTGTGTAGGAAAAGTAAATTGAAAAATAAAATAATAATAAATGTGAGATACTTACAAACAACACCTGGTCTATACATCAACAAATGTTTTAAGATTTTAAACAACTGAATTAAACAACTGATTTCTGGAAACCCACAAAAGCACAAATAACTTGTAAATAAAGAATATTGCAGTTATGCGTCCGAAAAAGCCTTAAGCCTTATGAAACTTACATTTCATCGGCTCCTTTTTTGAATGTATAAAGTTTTGAGCAGCCAGTGCTTGAGCTATTTTAAGATATGTTACGTTGCTTGTCTACAGTATATCGTTTTCTGCCAGGAGTATGACAAGCCCACGAGTCAAAACTTAACAGCTGCCTGGAACTACCGGCGTTTGTTATTTATGGAGACTGAGTCAAAAATCGATAGACCAGATTTGATCATTTGATAAGCAACTTCGCGAATAAAGTGAAATATTGAAATCCATCATCAGTGCCACAAAGGGGTCGATCCGTTGTCCTGCTGTAAGTAGCTTACAGATATCTGTATTTGGGGGAACAAATCTGTTGACATCGTCATCCTCACAAACTAGCTGCATCGTGAACTACTAGAAACGAAAATGGGCGACAGTATAGTAGACCCAGCACCCATGGAGGTCGAATACAAATCGGAGAAGATTGACATGTCACTTGGTAAGTTTTTAAGTGTTTGAACAACTGCGTAATGACGCCAATTACATGAAAATTTCGATCGCTGCTTAAACTCGGTAAATCTACATTCCACATTGACCAATACTTTTAAAATGCTCCACCTCCAAAGCAAGTAGATATATCTTGACTAAATATGGCTTAACGGAAGGAAAACGTTCACGTCATTGCGTGAGAAAACCTGATAAGGGTCAGAATAATCGATAAACTAATGTTTTTGTCAAGAGTTAATGGGCCAGATTATCATTTATATTTTGAATATAAATTCCGAAGAATTCATATTTTATTTTCTGAAAAACTCTCTTTCAGAGAGAATATCAGACAACAGCTAGATAATACATTTATATTATACATGTACAGTACTGTATATATATATTAAGCATCTTACATGGTGTAGTGGCCAGAAACTTGTGATTTTCTTTGCAGTCCTTTAGGTTTTGCAATATGAAAATGTTCTTTAACTTCTATACAGTATATATTTTAAGTGCAACCCATGGGTGTATGGAAACGATAGTATTTAGTATAATAGTAATCAGAAAACTTCACAGTTTCCGTGTTTTTGATTTTTTTAATTCTGGATTGATTCGAGGCCATAACTACGCTTGTAGTTTTTTTTTCCAGAAGTACAGAGAGCAGCCAAAAGTTTTAAGACAAGTTCTAGAAATAAAAGTTTTATGGATGGATAAACCTTAACCCACGTTATGTAAAATTGAATAACTTAGAACATAGCAAAAAGAAAATAACTAAAAGGAAATAAAAAGATTTAATTTGATGGAATTTTCATTTGTAAATCAAAAGCACAAAAACTATTCTATTCTGTTCTATTGCTATTAATAAATCCATATTTGTTCGGAGGTACTTCATCGTGCCATATGACTTGTAACATATGACAAGACAAGAGTAGAAAATCTTGGATTGGCCAAGTCTATATTTAACTTGAATTGTGCATGTATTTTACATGCTGAACAAAACAGGCAGACATCAAAACACCCCACAAACAGGCTTTGACTAAAACAAAATTTCACAAGTGATTACACAGAGAGTTCAGTGATTTCAGCTCAATTATTAAATTATTTTTCACTTGTATGCTTGGAATGACCCAAAATTTATTTTGCACATATCATTCATATTAACTTCAAAATCACAATGACTAATTATTTGACTGAAAATAAACAAGTTACATTTGGAGGATACTGTTGTAGGAGAAAAGAATACATACAGTACAGTAACTACAGATGGTAGAATATAAGTAACTAAATGTATTGGGTGTTGGATGTCTTCCTAAAACAAATTGAATTCTGCCTCAGCATAAATATCACATACTTTACGTGAATACATCTTAGAAGGAGCTGTGTGAGCAGAATTTCATCCTGTGAGCACATTTCCTGGAAATGTTGAACTGTTGCATTTTGGAATGTTTCCTTTAAGACAGTTAGCAAAATTAAAAGCTATTATCAATAATAAATTAGTAGATTACTAACACTGTTCCATATAGGATACATCTACAGGTGTTTAATTTGTATACTGTAGACTTTAATAAAAATAAATGGTTTTGTGTGCTTGGTATATTTGTCTAGAATTCAAATAAATAGTGAAATTTAGTGAAAAAAACAATACTGTAGTGATAGATTATTACTTTTCAATATTTAAAGTCTTTATATAAGACTAGATACATGTAATTGTGTAGAAAAAGACACTTTGCCTATTAAAAATGATTTTACATTAAAAAGTTAAATAAATAGTTACAAGTTATTTGCAAATTTGTACAATAAAATCACTAAGTAGTAAAGCATTAAATGTACAATAAACCTGTACTGATGATGGGTGTGTAGCAGGGTTACATGACATGCTATAAAAAGCTCAACTGCTGTAATTCAACAGGCACAGCTAAAACAGTGCAAGGACGGAGGCCTTTAGGGCCTTTTCTTTTCCATTTCTGCCTCTCTGTAGAACAGTGGTTATTATGCCCTATGAAATTCCGTAATGAAGCAGTTCAGTAGTTCAGTTAAATTCTAATGAATCCAATAGAGGGACAACATATGTAGAGAATATTTGACTTGACTTGCCTAGCTGAGGGAATCGCAGCCTAGCCGTTAGAATAGTCTGATCAAATCCCTTCCCCCTCACTATTGCAAGGATTGAATCAGGGACTTGCTGCTCGAGTGTAGGTGGAGAGATAGGGAGGGAGAGATGTGAAACGAAGACCTGGGTGCGAGACATATACTGTATAAGAGAATAGGCTCTAACCTCCCTCCAAACTTCTGTTACAATCTCCATTGATAGGTAAGATTGGATGAATTGCTGAAATGAAAGATTTCACATAAATATTTATGGATTAAAACTCAAGTTAATGTGCATGAAGAATTATGTGAAATTTGATGTATGTAGCACAATAGTCAGTTTGTAAGTATGACAAATATCACATACATTCATATACTGCTCATTTATTGCTCATTAATGTTTGATCTTATCACGGCTGTTCAACTTTTCCTGGGGTTTAACAGCCTTTACACTGATTAACATATATTTCTAAATTAAATTTAGAAGTTAGCAGAAATGAAACATTTCTACGAAGACTTAGGCCATTTTGGTGGTTTTTAATGTTTGTTCAAATTGTAAGCTTGACTAATTTAACTAGCCCCCTGTATTTCCTCTGATTATTTCCAACTCACTCAGGAAATACAAATATTTGGAAAATGTTTTTTTTTTTAATTGAAATATTCCTTCAGCTATTTAATATCAGTAGGTTTCTTATTCATTGTTCATGTTTAAATTATACCTGTTCAGTACAAGGGGGACTCCTTCTTTTCATATGCAGCTATGAGAGAAAGTGTACATAACCCTGTTCAGGGAGCTCCCTTGCCTCTCATTACTGTTTCATATTAGCTGACATTTTAAAACTGACTGTTACACTGAAACCTAACTGATTGTTACAATGAAACCTGAAGGAGATCCTATGAACTTTCTGAGCTGCCAGATGGTCTTCACACTAACAGCATTTCTAACTTCCCGTGGTTGTTCATCAAAGCGCTGAGCCAGACCTTCTAAATGTGCTTTTATTTTCTTTCTTTAGATGATATTATCAAACTCAACAAAAATGAACAGAAATCCAATCAAGAAAAAACCTCCAAGAATAACAGAGGGGCAGCCACTACTAGAAAAAAGCTTGTTGGGGCAACAACCATTTCTAGACAACAGAGAATTCCTTTCAGAAGAGTTCCATATCAGGCTCAACAAGGTAACAGCGACACCAATGGAGCACAATTAAAGGCTTCTACTCAGAGTCTAGTTTTAGCCCTATATCCCAGAGATTGCTGGTTTGGACTATGTCATTAGCTAACTATGATCACGATTCCACAGAAGTGAGGCAAAGACCACACTGTGGAGCTGAAATCTTCTAGGATTTCCTTATATCGTTACAATGTGCTTTAGCCTAGTCAACATTACTTAAACCCATTTCCTGGCTCCACCAAATTGGTCACAGAGACTAGGTTTTTTTTCAGAAGACCATGTTCATCAATGGTTTAACTTGGGTCTCTGGAAAAAATAAAATACACCATTAATATAATTGGGACTTTTTCCGAGAACTATATTAACATGTATTATTATTTTACATTAGGTCCTAATGTATTTAGGCAAGCCTGCAAGCCTTGTATGAATACATGAGAACAAACTTAATTCAATACTCCTTTTAAAAAAGAAGTTACATGAGGATGCTTATTTCAACTACTGCCTACTATTGATTTTTATCTTCTGTCAGAACATATAATTTAAAAGAGGATGGCAGTTGATTCATATTGCATTGCAGTGTGAGGTTGTGTACTGTAGGAAAAAAAACAACAGTTCAAATTTAGCGTAAGAACAGGAAGATACGTTTATAAGTAATATTATACCGATATATGAAAAAAGTAATCCTAGGTCCTCCAGTACAAAATTTGTTTTGATATTTCTGTTTCTTACTCAAAGTCAATCTAAGATTCCAAAACGTAAAATGTATTTTGCAGAAACGAATAGAGCAATTATCCAAAAAAAAGATATGATAGTTATGAGTTAAAACAAAACTGAGATAGTACAGTATAAATAACTTTTTTTCACTAAAACATCATTTTGGACTGTCTTTTACTCTGAAATAGCAAAATAATTTAAAACAAGTAAGAAATTGAAACATTTAGGATAGTTTTGTAATACAGTTCCTGTAGTGTACTTTAAATGCTTTCTGTAATTAGGAGATAAGCACTTGTTTTTTTCATATCAAAGTAGCATTAAATTGAAAGTTAAAACAAAAATGCTTCATCTCGTATGACTCTGACACTGAGAAGCACATTTTGTTCAGGAACTACATTGAATTATTATCCTGCTAAGATTCAAGTCACAGTGGATTTTGATATTTATGTCTCAGCAAAGTCAGGTACATTTCACACTGAGTCATGGTACAGTTAGAAGTTAAGATTGTTTTCTGCTGTCTGTAGGACCCTACCATTTAAGGTCCATGGGCCAAGACCTGCAAGGCTTCAAAAGAAGAATTCCTTATAATCTAAGAAAGGCCACTTTAGTTGCTAAAGGAGTGAGCCCCTTGAACAGGAATGCATGGAATGCACAGGTATGATAGACCAAAGGATGTTCTATAAGGGTGAAAAGAGATCCAGTAAATACTGGAAGCATCTACTTTATACAAAAGAAAAATACTATAGTAAATCAGGGGGAGTTACATACTGTATGTTACAAAGTTTACACTAATGTACACTGTTTGGCTTTTGTATGTGTATGCTGTCTAAGTCCACAGCCCTTCCTAAATCTTAAGCAGCAATCCTTTTGAGATTTCCGAGGAAGAAATGTGAAAATCAACTTTTCTTATTGGTAACAGCTTTGTTTTTTAAAGGATTTACGAAATTACAGAAGTAAGCTTTAAAAGAAGCAATCTTTTATACAAGTGTGGGATGTTTTGACCATTGAGCCTTAAAGAAAAAATGTAGCACGGCAAAAATATTCTCTCATCTTGGCAGAGATATTTAAATAGCGAAAGTTTATTTTTCTTCCATAATATTCTTCATTAACATCTTGAAAACATAAAATAAAATAGAAGCCCACTAGACTTTACTATTTTAAAATTTCTTCATTTAAACACTGTGTGGGACATTTGCCTGGTGCCCCTTTAACCCCTTCCAGAGTATTGTTTTATTAAACTTTCTAGTTTTTCCTTTTGTATGGCATCCTGAACTGTTACTGATAAGTTAATAGGTTAGTGATTTGAGGGCTTTTCATCTTTCAATATATCTTATCTGTGGGAATAAATATGAGAAGCATATTAGTTAAGCATCTATAGTAAAATGTAAGTATAACTATTTTTCTGCTACTTTATTCAAGATGCATATTGCAAGATAGCACCAACTGGGCTGAGCAAATGTTTGAAATGTAATGTTATGATGGATTTGTATTTCTTTTTTATTTTCATGACCAGGGAAAACAAGCAGTTAGAGCTTTTGTGAGCAACAGTTGGGGCCAGCGGTTTAGACAACGGACAAGCCAACCGCAATTTCGGAAAAGGTTCTGGCAAACTTTCAGAGGTCCTCCAGCAACTTCTAGGAGGTAGTTATGATTAATAATAATTGCTTACACTTACGTAGCATTGTTCTGGACACTCCACTCAAAGCACTTTACAAGTAATGGGGACTGTCCTCCTCCACTGCCAATGTGTAGCCCCCAACTGGATGATGTGACGGCAGCCATAGTGTGCCAGTACGCTCACCACACATTAGCTGAGAGTGGGGAGGAGAGCAGAGTGATGAAAGCAGTTCAGAGATGGGGATTGTTTTCTAAAGGCCAAAGGGAAATTTGGGCAGGACACTGGGGGAAACACCATTATTCTTTTGGGGATTTTTTTAATGACTATGGAGAGTTAGCTCCTCAGTTTTACATCTCATCCAAAAGGCTGCGCCTTTTTAACTGTATAGTATCCCTGTTGGCATACCAGGGCATTAGGATCCACACAGTCCAGAGGGTGAGTGCCCTCTGGTGGCCTCACTAACACCTCTTCCAGCAGAAACCTTAGCTTTCCCAGGAGGTCTCCCATCCAGGTACTGACCAGGCACACACCCACTTAGCTTTAGGAGTTGCAAGATAACACTGCTTAGGAGTTTAGCATTTTGTTCTTTTTTGAAGATGTATTTTGTAGAAGAATAAGATGAAACAGCTAGGGGTAGGGGGTATGGTGGTACAGTGGTAATCATTGCTGCTTTGCAGCACTGGGGTCCCAGGTTTAGTTCCCATGGTGCTATCTGCAAGTACAG